GTTTGAGAAGAGAACTCTCATACACAGGCCAATGACCTGAAATCTCTGGGTGATCCACCCAGGCACCACAGCCCTGAAGGGATGCATCTGTGAACAGATGTAAATCTGGCCACAGAGGAGGAAGCATGACCCCCACTGATGTGTGGGTTCTGTTCAACCATTAATTGGAGATTATCTACAAAGGATGAGCGAAGGGATATACAAGTATCCAAGGAATCCTGGGCAAGGACCCATTGAAGAAACTACATATGGGCTCTGCTCAGGGATATGAGAGGAGTCATGGAGAACCACATCCTGAAAAGTGATATAACTTCACAAGCTGTAAGTGAGGAAACAGACTGGGCTTTCCAAATGACCCATTCCATAGAATGGAGCAAGAAGAAGCCAGTTGTTCAAATAAACATGGAAGCACAACCCCATGGCGTGAATATGTCAAGCAAAGGAACTGACCACATGCCAAAACATGTATGGTGCTGAGGCTAGGCCAAAATGTAAGGTACAAACTACTGGTACACAACTCCAATGGACAAACCAAAGATATGGATGGGAACACTCTGCCACAGGAATGTGTAAGTAAGCATTGAAAATGTCCACCTTGAACATCCAAAGACCTTGAGAAAATGTCCACTGAAGAGAAAGGTATGTCTCCATGGTAAAGTGAGGAGTGTGAAAATACTAATTGAGATGGGATAACTTGAGGACATGATGGCACTCCCCAGTCTTTTTTGGAACCACAAACCTCTGAACCTGGTGAGCTGGTTTGATAGCCTGTTGTGTGATGAGGTTCTGTGCCACCTCTGACAGAAGCTAGCATGTCGAGGGATCCCGAGGAGAAGGGAAGGGAATGGGAACAATGGATAGTGGAGGAAGTGGGTGAAATGGGATAATGAATCCCTCCATGAGCACCTTGTGAACCCAGACATTGGTTCCCAAAGATGAACGAAATTTAATAGAGGACCCAAACTGACCACTTAGTCACTGGTACTGCTGTTGGCGGATCATGTTTCATCGAGTAAATCATCGAATTGTGGCACTATGGAAGGGTGAAACAGGAAGAAGTTGGGAAGGGGAAGGTCAGGGGAGATGAATTGGTGCCACCCTTGGCCCCTGACTGCGACAAACAAGTTACCAAGTTAGTAAGGGTAGAATGTTGATGGGCCGAGGCCACCCATGACTCCAAAGACTCAGGAACTGAGTCAAACACATAATGCCATAAAAATGGTGCCATGCAAAGGTCCCTCAGATAAAGAGCCTGGAGATGGGTCCACGCCAAAACCAAATCACAGCCAATGAGGTCCTAGCAACAAACAAAGCATGTTTGAAGAATGAGACTTAAAGACGACAGACGAGCCAATGTAGAAGTAAGGGTGAAGAGGATTTGAGCAGAAAATCCCCCTCATGATTCCTGTGAAAAGCCTTTGACAGAAGGTGAAAGAAAGAAAGGTACCTTAATAGGGTAGTGAGGGTGAAACAAAGGCGAGAAAATTGGGCTTGGGTAAGTCACACAGGGTAATCTAGTTTCATTCCCCAAACAGGTAGGACTGACCCCAACAACTGTTGGTCGAGAAAAGGAAAGTCCACCCAATGATAAACAAGGACAAACTGATCCAAAGTCCATGGGAGACAAGGCATACTAATGCCCTCCCCCAGCTGAGAGACAAATTGGTTCTCGTGAACCCTAATATTGGGGACGGATGAAAAACTAAATAGGGTCAGCAAGTTTCATGTAAGAGGGAAAAACATCACATACCTGAGGGGTAAAGTCTGAAAAGACCAGTAACAGACGAGCTAAATTATCAAGTAGTGAATGGGAAGGTGTGGCAAACTCCAGGTGGAAAGACAAACAATTAAAACTGTCTCAAGCATGGACCAGCCCAAAAGGCTCAGGAGGAAGTGGGGTAGATGTAGGTGAGAGCAGTTGGCTCATATACTGCTTAATCTCTCGGCAGATGAGCGATGATATATCCCCAATGGGTCATCTGCACCCATGGCTGAAAATACAGCATCGACACTGGCAAAGAGCTCAAAATGGTGACTGTAACTTTGGAATTCATAAGCATGAAACATGAGGAAGTAATAATTTATTAAAATACTAACTCCACAACTGTGAAGGTTGAAAATACAGTTAAGAACTACTTCAAGGTAACTGAATAATTTAAAAAACAATGTATGAACTTGACAGCTGCCAAACGAGAAATGATAGTTTGGTAGTGGCATGTAGAGGGAGTCACATGCATCACGTGATAGTAGTGCTCTCCAACTGGTGGAGAGTTAACACATGATGATTTGCATGAGAGATGTATTTGAACTTTGGATTCCAACAGGAGGAAGATGAAGGTTGTGGCATGCATTTCTCAAAAACATTCACATACAGAGGGCAGTACAAAACGAGAAAAGGCTAATCTTGAGAGAGGAGGGAAGTACCTTATTGGAATAGTCAATTTCACTTCTAAGTTAACTTTGATTCACATAGGAATCACAATGGCTAGCTTGGATGTATTTGTAATGGCTCTTGTCACAGTTAGAAAGCCAGAAAAATTGTGATAGTTAGGTGAAATTGTCTGCTTTTTGCATGTTATTATTCTATGTTCTTT